CTAGTTATGTCATTTCCGATTTTTTTATTTCAGCAACAATTCTCCCGGAACACCGTCAAACAACTACACACTCGAGATGTGGTTTTGCACCGAGCCAGACGAGGTTTCGGATTTGTTTTACGTGGTGCCAAAGCATCATCGCCTCTGATGGCTCTCAGACCCTCTGAACGGTCCAGCTCTCAATACTTGGACGATGTAGACCCCGGCGGCGCTGCTGATATGGCAGGATTGAAACCAGGAGATTTCTTACTTGCGGTAATAAAATATACCTGCCTATTTCTGTCTTCAAACTAATTTCAAATAATTTCACTTAATTATAGCCAGTTTGAATAAAGCATACTATAGTTTATTCTTAGTGCAGTTTTCATTTTTAATATTTTCTACGATTTAGATAAACGGCACCGATGTCAGCGCTGCATCTCACGAACGGGTCGTCGAACTGATCCGTGCTTCTGGCGAACTTGTCCAGATGACTGTGGTGTCTGCTCCGGCAAGTCACAACCCTGGACCTGGTGCATTCGACGAACCTGATATGGGTGGGGCTGATATGAATGGCAGTGGAGGAAATCCATATCATCAATCTATGAGACAACATTTTGCAACGTTACCGAGAAAGGTAAAAATAGTCTTTATTTTACGTATTCAATTTTTATCATGTGCCAAATCACCCTTTATTACAACATTTGAGTCATATTTCGTAATATGATTTTATAATACATACTAGTATTAGGTGATCTTTGTACTCTTACAACGTGCTATTCAAAAAAACCTTTAAGTCGATAATAACACCAATAACTTCACACATTTTCAGGCCGGGCAGGAATATTTCCTGGACAAACTGGCTCGGGTACTTTAGGGCGCGGCGGTCCGGCTCCTGCACCACCTCGACGTGACCCTCGAACAACTTTAAGCGTGGGTCGTGCGAGGGCTAAGAGCATGGTAGCAGGTTTAGGTACAAAAAAAACAGAAGATTCAGTGACCTAAAATTTATCAACTCATTAATATATATAATTTATTTTAGAAGGAGGTGGTGGTGAAAAATCATCTGATGATTTGGATTCTACTGGAATATCGACGACGAAATCGAGTTCTGCCGAGTCTGTGCAGGTAAAGAAATTTTGGATATAATACAGAAATATACATTTTTCCTCAATACTATATTAATACATTTTTTCATAGATGTCTCCTCACTTATCTCGTTCCGATGGCAACCATTCCACATTCGCGTATTCTCAGCACGACAGTCCAGCCAGACATAGCATAAACCAGAGCACATCCGAATACGGAAGCCCAGGAGGTAATAGTAACCAGAATCCGAACCAGCCTAGAACTGCTAGTATAAGGCAGAGACCTTGTTCAAGTAGAATTACTGCTGCAGAATTGGAAGAATTGTTCCAACGTCAACAGAGTTCAACGACTGGTAGTGGAAACAGGTCAGTTGCATAATACATTATATAATATATAATTTTAGTTAAACAATATCAGTTTTTATTCGATATAGTCTTTCTAATTTGGTAAATTATCAGCATTAATTTGTTTTTGATTTATATTTGTCTACGATCAATGCAAATCATCTACTATTTTGACTTGTTTTCCAGAATATCGACAATGATGTGCAGTTCTCGGTTCCAATCTGGAATGGATCAAAGCCCACCAGGATCTCCAGCTAAACCTAGAGTATACGCTAGTGTTGCTGAAATGAAACGTAAAGGAAAGGTAATCAATAATTTTATATTAATTTTTATCCAACTCCTTCGAAAATATAAATCAATAAAACATTATTTTTTAGGCATCTATTAGAGCCAAGGCGGTAGCTGTACCTAGAGTAGAACTGCTCCATAGAGATTTTCACAGCACACCAGATTTAGCAGGGTTAGTTGAAGAGTTGTTTGAGTATTATACAATTCAAATTATATACATTAACTAATGATAATAAATCATTTATAACAGTAAACCGCTGGGTTCACCAGTTGCATCCAGTCTAAGTGCATCTGGTAGCTTAATTGGATCAAATAAATTGCCCAGTAATTCTTGGGGGACATGGAGTGTCAGTAGAGCCCGCCATCGCAGTGTCGAAGATGTCCAACATGCTGCAGGTATTTGTCACTCTATAGTGCTATTGCATAAGAATGAAATCATAATATATTTGCTAATTTTTACTATTTATAGGTGCTAGACAATTACCTCCCCCGACTCATCCTCCACCACCGCCTCCAACAACTGGTCAACTAGTTGCTGTTGATGTTTCTAGAGGCAAATCGGAATTGGATCAGACGTCAGGAAATACCACCAAAGGTTCGAAATTGACCTTATTGAATAACTATTTTGGTGTAAATAATTATATCAACAATTGTAGCTTATTAATGTTTTGATTATTAGCCCAAGAAAGCATTCCAAACAGCAGTGAAGTATCTGGAGATCCAAATGCAGTAATGTCAAGTTTTAGACCTGCAACTAGTGCCAAATTATATGCATCTCCACAAGATATTAGAGCTGTAGGGTATAGAGCAAAACAGCAAGAGCAATCAAGCAATAGAAATCAAGTAAGACTAATAGATTAATATTAAGATTTTGAAACTGAATGAATTAATTTTCATCATGCTCATTCATTATTTTTGCAGGTCCGAAAATCTCAAAGTATGCGTGATACCAGCCAGTCGTCGACATCAGTTCAGGACAACGCTGTGCAGCAACAAAATCAGCAAACTTCAAATCCTTATGCGCAACCTATCAGAAAGAATAGCATAAATAATGTAAGTCGTATATGGTAAAAGTCCAGTATACAGGAAAAATTAGTAACCAAGATTGATGATTTAACTTGTATTTCAATATTTAAGGGATTTTTGGTTAAATGAAAACGCAATTTGATATTAATATTAATAAGCAGTATTACCAAATCTATAGCCTATCAATTTTTATTTAGAAGAAAATATTAGAAGTCCAAAAACTGATAGTGATGATAGTGAGATGTTGTACCAGGATTTGGAATAAAAATTCTAAATACATTAATAATTGTATATTAGCGTCTGGTTACAGAATATTGAATACATAAATAGATTAAATCAATTTTTAGACTGCAACTCTGCCTCCACCGATACCAGAGCCCGATTACAGTATGAGTGAATCTGATGAGGAGCAAATGCAAGGGAGGATCAGGTCCAACACTAATCCAAATCTGCAAAGTAATAGAATAGGGGTCACAATTCCCGTTTCGGGAGACAGGACACACGTGCAGAGAATCAAAGTTACACATGGAGATAATAATACTATTATTAATACAGGTTGGTACTTAACAATTAACTGGTATGAAATAAATTGTTTGGATTTTTTTTATACTAGTATGCATTATCTATGTTGCTTTGCTCTTGCCATATAATTGTCTACAGGAAAACATAAATAGTTTATTAAAGTAGCTATAAATGTTATTAAATGCCGCACTAAATAAATTTTCTTGGAAATACATAAGTATATTTTTATACGCATAATAAAATATTGGAGCTGAAATAGTTTAGCACAATTTTTATTGAAAATTATTAAGTAATTCTATTTAACATTTTGATGTTACGGCTTGATCTTCAAACAAAAACTAGCCTGTGGTTTCAAAAAGTTGCCACAAAAATGAAACTGAAAGTTTCAATATATGTCAAAACGATTTTGTTAATAATTTATTACTTTATAGAATCACAACAACGAATAATACCATCAAATAATACTCCTAATGTTCAAGTCAAATCTCAAACCAATGGTGGAACTAACGGTAATGGATCAGCTAGCGAGACGAGTGGTAACAGCAATACGAGGTATTTAATAATTGATAAGATATTTTAATTTATTACTAAATATTCAGCATTTTTTTATTGTCCAATATCAATCATTTTGTATTTATTTTTACAGTGGTTCCAGTACAAATTCAACTTCTCTCGCGCATTCATTCTCAGTGGACGAGATACAGAAAATAAGGACGCGTCTTAAATGTTCAAAGTCATATCCAGATGATTTCTAGAACAAAAAGAAAATCCTGCAGGAGATGGAGAACAAGATGGTGCCAATACCGACACCAATGTCACGAGAAATGAAACTGCCGGAGAATTCTTCTAGCGGCGTCAGTTCAGACCAAGAAGGAGCTGATATAAATAGTAAAGGTAAAAAGAATTTAATTATACTATTTGATACTATAATAAAAATAAATAGTAGTAGAACTATCAACGCCTTATAATTTTATCAATTCTGTTTTATCAATTTTTAGGTAAATTTTCAGATCAAAACAAGCAACAACATGACAAGAAGTCTCCTGCTCCAACAAAATTGGGAACTAATACAGTTTCTCAATTGCGGCAACAACATCAACTAGAAATAAATGGAGGCATTCAGTCTAATTTAGGATTTTCCAAAACTATGCAGAGGCATAATAGTCTGACCAGAAAGCAGGCTAACTCGATTGCTCTGGCCCGGAATCAGGGAAGTAAAACGCTTGGCAGATCGGCAGCAGAAAGACTAGGTAAAGGAAATTAAATTATAAACATTATTATTTTCTTAAGAAGAAGTTTTTTTTCATCAATGGATTTTAGAATCCCATGTGTAATTTTATGTTTTCTGGACGTTTCACGTAATTCTGAATTGTTTGTAAAAAATTAGAAAGGCATTCGAGAAAGTCTATCGTTGGTCCAAGCTATTCTTTGTAATTGGCAGAAGTATAATCTTCTTTGTCCATGTTTTAGGAATTGCTTTGGTCAGTTTTTGGTAAAGATCGTTCTGCCCGTTTCTTTGTAATTAAATATCGAACTTCTTTAGGATTTTGATGAAACTTTGTACAATGATAGATTTCATAGTCTGAAATAACATATTAAAATATTATAGGCCTAGGATAAGCGGTTGAACTATAAAAATTCATCAAAGTTTGAGTTTTATGCGGAATCGGAATCTATGCCGAAGCACTATGGTGTTTTGTATTTAGCTACTGATTATAGTTTACGTTCACACTCAAATAAAATACATTTCTAGAACTCGAAATGGATTAAATTAAATGTGTTAAACAAATTAATTTATTTCATACAGCTACTGATAAAGTATGTTTCAAAGATATAAAATAAAAATGGTTTTTAATGAAAGCGAAATCTTTATTCTTGAAATAAATAATTGAACATTTTGCTTAGACAGCTATTACGTCACTCAATAAGTCTGTATGATAACACATAGATGATGTAGTTATGTAATCATCGATATGATTTGTAGGGTAAGTAACAACTTTAAGAAGATATATATCAAAATTTCATGACAATCCGACGATTAGTTTACAAAAGTTACAGAGGTTCAAGTGACGATACTTTTGAGTTTTTTGAAACCATGAATTCAAAGCAAATTTGAGGTTTGATATATCATTGCTTTTTGATGGGTAAAAATACCATTGCTGCCAAAGTATCTCTTGATAAGTGTTATCTGGAGTGTGCCAAATCGAGGCAAATGTGGAGAAGTTGTTTGCTGATTTTAATCGTGAACACTGATGACGCTGAACGCTCTGAAAGGCCAATTGAGGTTACACGGAAAATACCAAAAAAGAACACCGAAAACGTTTTGGAAAACCGAAAAATAGAATTGTCTGAGATAGTTGTCACGAATATTTGGATAGAAAAAATCCCTGTGCTAAATGGGTGCCGCGCGAACTCACATTTGACCAAAAACATAACGAGTTTAAGATTCGTAAGAGTATTTGGCACAGTCTCAATTGAAACAAAACTGAGTCTTTGCATCATAATACCACCATATTTATAACCTGCCTTCATCACTACAACCCGGAGTTGAATAGACGATTATTTAGCCGAGTGGACTAGACATGATGACGAGAAAAAATGCAAATAATCTGCTGGCTAGATTATAGCGTCAGCTTTTTGGGATTCGTGAGTAATGTCTTCATCAATATAATAGTATAATGTTATTGGAACATTTGAAGATTGAAATCGAAAAAACAGTCCCATTTGAACATCATGCTGCTCTATCAGGACAACGCACCAGGTCACAAATCCGTGAAAACAATGACCAAAACAAAAACATGAATTGGGTTTCGAATTGATTCACCACTCACTATATTCTCTAGATCTGTTCTCCAGCGTCCATATCCTGTTCTCCGATCTCAAAAGGATGCTCGTTCTGAATAAATTTTTGCCAAGTGATGAGATGATAGCTGAATTTTGTGGCATAGTACAAATCGTACTATAAAAATGGTTTCGAAAAGTTCGAAGTTTTACTATAATCGGTATATCGTCTTCGAAGAAAACTATATTGAGTAAAAAAGAATTTTGGCAAAAAATTGGTTTTTTTAGTTATCCTACGGACTTTTTGAGTGAAGTGATAATTCTTATTATTGTTGATAAAGTTGATTATTTACACGTATTTGCATGATTACGCAACTTGCCTTCTTTCGCTTATTACCTATCTGATTGTCCATAATGTAGCCATTATTTAGAAAAGTTTAAGAATACTTGTTCAACTATTTTGTTAATCATCAAAATTGGTTTTACTTAATTCTTTAAAATTTTATCGCTGTTATTTTTTTACTTAGAACTTGACCAAATATTACTATAGTTATATAATGCTAATAAATATTCAATTTTTCTAGGTATTGAGCAAACAACAGAATCATCCACCACCAAGCACCGCCAATTCGGCAACAAACTCTATCCCGATTCAAATCTCATAACAACATCATCACGACAAGCAGTATCATTAGCACGCCTGCCACCACCTGCAGAAGAAAACCTGACTTCTAACGTTTCGACACAGAATTCAAATGCTTCATCAGAAGTAGCCGAAGACACATTTGTGCCTCCTCCACCAGAATTCGTAGGTGGAGCGAGTGATAGAGTTCTAGCACCGCCTCCTCAGTTTTCGGACGCCCAAGGCAAAGTTAGGATTGTTGGAGCAGTTCCTAAGAATGGCAGATTAGGACATCACTAATGGAGAAAAGTTGATGTTGAGAACAATGGTGTGAGTGAATCAGAATTGGTAATATGACTCTAGAATATAAGTACCAAACTTGTTGGTAAGTTGCTTATTCTTACTTGGATGTAAAGATTGTTTACTGTTTATGTAATTATTATAAATGTAGAAATCGAAAAAGAATCTAGAAATCTTTGTTTAATCGGTCATACAATATTTTTTTCGATTTCTACTTTATATCGACTGAATTTCGATTTTGTCGAGTGTTTTGTGCAATATCTTTGGACGTGATATTTGGAATTTGCTTAAAATTAGAAAAAGTGGTGCCAAAATTAAACTACGTTTGCATAGAGTTTTGGAAGGCTTAGGTGAATATTTATATAAACTATTTATATGCAGATGAGTGATCAAGCATTTTTAGTAATAAAAATAGGACGTTTTGCTTTGAATCATAAACGATGATATGGAACTGAAAAAATTAGTATACTTAAGCTGCTAATTAAGCTTATGTTAAAATTAGTCGCTAAATAAATACGTTGTTTGTTTATTTAAGTATATACAGAAAATTGAAGGGATTTGTGTAACAAATGAGTGTAATGAAGAATTCTCGATTAATATTAACCTATTATTGATCAAACAAATGTTTTGATCGATTAAGTATGGTTAAGAAGAACCTGATTACAGTACTTTTATATGTATTAAACCATGCGGTACAAGACGTATTCATCTTCAATGTCAATTCTAATATTTCTGCATCTGTGAGGATATTCAATGAGACAAGAAAATTAAGGCTGCTCTGGTGTAAATCAGAAATGTACTCGGCACAATTCTCAAATAATTGTAGGCCCAACATTTAGTTTTTGTTTGGTGAATTTTCTTAAACATTATCCATATTGATTCAGATAGATGATCCGTACTTTAACTATTAATAACTTTACAAAATTATTCCTAACATTTGTGTTATATTTTCTCGGCAAGTCCTGATATAAATCATAAATGTATGATTAGTGAAATTATAATGATTTTTCAACAAATATTCGTACACTTTTTAAAAATTTTATAAGTGCTGCAGTTGCAAAACTTAAAATAAAAAATGTTGACCAATAATAATAAAAATAGTTACTGATGAAAACTTGGGTGTTTCATATGATTTATACATTGACTCAAAAATGAGTGAATCCAATTGAGTAATTCTCAATAAATTGAGTGAATCTGGATAAATTGAGTGAATGTGAATGAATTTAGTAATATTTTATTGCAAGTTATCTGCTAAATCAAATTAAATGGGCTGAAATTATGCGCCATCAAATGAAATTGTCAAAAATTTACCCAAATTACATAAAATTATATAAAATTGGATCAAATGAATTCATTCCATTCAAATGGAATCAATATAAAATTTAATAAATTTGAGTAAAGTTAAACCAAATGATTCAAAATCAAATAATATTGAGTAAATTGTATAGAGTAAAATATATGTATCAAGTGCAAATTTGCTAAAATAGAGTAAAATCATAAAAATTGAGTGAATCCCAATTGAATTAAACTGTAAATGTGAGGAAGTCGAATAATATCCATTGAATTTGATTGTAATTTTGTTAAATTGACTTAAAATTAAAAAGTAAAAATTGGTTAATTGAGTGAAATTGAGTGAATCAAATAAAATGATTGATATAAATATAAATTCTAGTAAGTTTGATCGGAATTAAATTAATTGATTACAAAACAAACAAAATAGAGCAACTAAGATTACATCATCTTAATGAATAAATTTGTTAAATTAGTTAAATTTGGGTAAAATTGTGTTAAATCCATTTACGACTTATTCCAGTAAAATGAACTAAAATCGAGTACATTGCATAAAGTTTAGCAAAATTTTAAGAAAATTAGTCTAAGTCATATGAGACACTTGAAATAGAACTTACTCGAAAAATTGTGGATAAAACCAAATTAAATATTGAAACAGTAACCCCAAAAAATGGGATTGCATCAATTTTATAGACAATCTACTATAAAAAATAAATTCATAAAATTTCAAAACACCATCCTGACAAAAAAAAAATCATTTTAAACCATTTATGACCAAAACTAAATGCATATAGGAATTGACACAATGCTAAATAAACGTGGCCAATTTTTATAAACAACAAAAAATTTTTTGTATATTTGTACAATTTGCAACAACCGTAAATCAAATCTGTAGGTTTAACCATTTTTACAGAAAATATAGAAAAAAATAGTTTTGATTGCACAGAACTTCGTTAACGGTTTCTATAATAATAAAATATTTATTAAGACTATCAATGTAATGGCTACAATATTAACTGTAAAACGATTAAAACAAATATTTTAAAATCACGATTTTTAATTTTTTGCAATAAAATCTGCATCATAAACACAAAACTATCAAATTCCTTACATAATTTTTTTTTTGTACTTTAAAATATTTAAAAAACATAAAAATACAATTCAGCTAGTAATAAAACATCAATTAATAAATCATCTTAAAAAAATACAAGAATTTTGTATTAAAATTATGATACTGCATCAAAACTCATCGTTTATGAATTTTATAAAATCTATCTTGTATCCAAAAGATTTTATTAAATATTTGGCTATTAGAATAAAATGTCGATCGATTTAGTCATATATATATATATATTCGCCTAAATTTAGCGTAAATATATATATTTTAAATAATTTTTATTATTAATAAAGTTAGATATATTGATATCTAAACAAATGTAATACAGATGTAATACAAAGTCATTACTTTTATTTGGAACGTGTGATTGTAAATAAAATAAAATAATTATTATTAATATGCACCTATATATATATATATATATATATATATATATATATATATATATCCAATATTGTTTATATTGTAAGGCATACATGCTAATAAGATATGGTTTTCACATAAGAATCATTTTAAGATATATGGTTATAATATTACTATAGTAATTAGATAATTATTAACTGCTAATTAGATAATTAGATATTAATTTAATAATAAGGCTGTTGTATAAAAAATTACAAAGTTTGTACAAAAATTTTCAGCTGTAAAAACTTTTAATAAAAATAGAAATGTAAAGTTTTCCGTGGTAAGCTGGAAATTTTTGTCTGTTTTTTTAAAAATCAGTATTTTTGGAAAATTTATATTCTTCTGGAACGTAATTCAAGCCATTTGAAGAGTTAGCGATTTTTTAGTATAAAATTGACACATTTTTATAATATTATAAAACATTACCATAACCATAAAATTAACAGCCAATTCGTCGAATTAAAATTATATATTAATAAATAACAGTATGTCAAAATTACAAACAATTGTTTTAAACAATGAATATAATTTAAAAAAAAAATACTAATTTAAAAAAGTAGTAATAAAGTGTAAATACTTACATACTTAATTGTAAAGTATTTTGAACAAAATTGTTTAGAAAAATTTAATTAACCAAAAACAAAAACATAACTACTATTTTAAATCAAAATGTTGTGTTAATTAAAATTGTAATCTTGTTTCTGTGTTTTTGCTAATTTTTTTATTTTAAATATTGTTCAAATATTGTGTTTTCTGCCTTTGTATACATTTTAACTAGATTTAATCAAATCAAATTTAATAATTTAATATCTTTCAAAAATACTACTGCACATAAGTGTTTCTACAATAATTAAAAATTAATTATTAGTTTTTATTCGACGAATTGGCTGCTAATTGTATCGAATATGTGTATATATAATTTGTTATATTTCTAGTAATAGCAATATAAAGATTATATTAACCCTTTCCACTCGGATGCCACTGCTACGGCGGCAAAATTCATATAAATCTCGGAATTAGCTAGTGGAAGGGTTAAAATTTATTGAATTTATATAAAATGGTCTATGCTTACAATTACTATTCATTCTATACTAAAAAAAACTCTAATAACTCTTAACTAATAACAAAAGTAATCATCTAAACGTTCTAGAAGAAAAATTTCAAAATTTGTATTATATTATCTAATAAATCAACGTGTTTTTATTCGTGTGAATTAAATTTGAAACTTTTTGAAAAAAAAATTAAATGAAATCATTCACGATAAAAGTAAATTAAGAAACAATTTTGATTCTGTTTGTTTTGAAAAAAAAAAACGCACAATTTTACGCATTTATATGCCACCAATCAACTGAACCAATTTTTGAAATTATTGATATATCAAAAATAATTATGAGTTTGGTGTCGAAACTTCTAAACTACATATAAAAAATAAACTTTTCTTCAGTGGATATAACATATTAAATTAACCAAATATTTTGAAAATAATATACACAATTTAATTTGCTAAAATTAAAATGAAATTAATATTTAAATAAAAAAAATATAATTTATATTTAAATGGCGTCCTTTCTGTTCGACGATTGTCGTAAGAATTCTCGCTATTCGAAATATTTTTTTGTACTTTTAAATTTTCCAATGAATTCGAGTGTTTTATCCACTGAAAATAGAGCCTCGAAGCTCGAAGTATGAAAGTCTATTAAATTTTTCTTACAAACATAATTTTTTTAGTTTTCTTTCTATTATTAATTGAATAATATTTTCAATTTTGATACCAAATGAAAAAAATGTAAATGGGCATATAATAGATTTGTAAATCTATTTTCATTTTGTCATGTAGTTTAGTGGTTTCATTGTACGAAATCAAATATACAGTTGATTTTTGGTAATCAGATTAAAAAATACGAAATAGTTCAGAAACATATTTGTTGGACAAAAAATGTTAGCTGTTAAAAATAATTTTAATTCTTCCCAATCTGATCACAGATAGAACAAAACATTTGAAGAATAAACATGAATACACCCTTTTATTTTATGAAAATTTAAAAAAAAACTAGTGGAGCATGGCATCGTGACTTAAGGCAAAAAAATTCCTGGAAATTTCCATACCGCAATGAAATATTCAAACAATTTTAAATGTTTTTAGTCTTAATTGAAATTGAAATCCAAATAATTTTCGATATTACAAATAATGAAAATCATATATTTTTTTCAGAAATTTTGAAATAAAATAAAATAAAATAAATTTTTGTCTTCTTCAAAAACTAATCATTTATTCGCAAGCAATATTTTTTAATTAGATGATCTGTTCTCTTAATAACTACTATTTTTGCTTTTTGCTCCGTATCTTAAAAACGGCTCGACCTGCCTTTGCTAAAAACCAATCGGCACATCTGCCTATCAATAGAAATCGAATGTTTTTTTCAATTTCCCGAAAATGTGGACAAAATTTGTATCATACATACATACAAACAAACTAAGGTATTCCAAAATGTTCAGGAACATCTAAAACGTAAAGATATGCAAAATTTATAAATAAGTAAACTGCAGCTTGCATTAAGGCTCAATTCCGCTTACATCTAGTTCTTTAAATATTCTGTTCTAGCTGTGTGTCACTATGGAATTGTAAATTGAAATTTGTATTTCAAAAACATATATATATATATATATATATATATATATATATATATTTATATATTATATGTCATGATACCCTGACTTATCTAAAACCTACTGTATAATTAAATAGTTTTATATATTTTTTCTTTACAACTGCGAATTAGATCAAAGTACACGCCTTAACCTGCTTTTACAGACTAAACTTGTAATAATATTATTAATTATGATTATAATATATTATAGTTATAAACCAATTAACATAATATATTGTAATAGTAATAATATGTAGAAACTTAGGTTTTATTATAACTTAGGTTCTATGAACCAGATAGATCCATGCAAATGGAAAAATTAAAAAAAAAACTTAGTCGCATTTATCAATGGCTATAATCAAAACATAGTTAGAAGAATTTATAACTATATTCTAACCAATTTTATAAGACGATATAGTTAATAAAAAAAAACTTTGATATTTAACGTTAGCCCTTATATCAACGTTCAACTATATAGATAACTCGTGAATG